GTCTATTAGGTGAATAAAGTAAATTTGCCTACATTCTTATGTCAGCCCATGAGTATTTTTTTTTTCCATTTTTAACTAAGAAAAAAGTTTATATACAGCTGAGGCTCTAAACTATTGGGTTTATGTGGCCTTTAAAGGCCTTATGAGTACTTGTAAAATGAAATGATATAGTGGAACATGAACTCAGTGGGAGTGTGGTCGCTCATTGACCATACCATGCAAACGATGTTTGTAGATACTGGACTGTGCTTGATGATCCAGGCTAATCGGTTGGGAAAAACCCATATTACCTAGGCATGAAGAACAAACTGATGATGGTTCATGGGTTAGTCCTTGATGAGGTCAGAGAACATGCCCAGATGAGTGAGCGAAGAGAATATGTGACCCTTGTGTGTGATGATGGCTTACAGAAATGGGGGCCAAAACCTCATCCATGTGCTATCACACGATATGTATATCGATAGATCGTTCGGGAAAACTAGAAATCCATTTTTTAGGGTGAAGCATATGCATGTGCGAGAGATCCCCCTATACGTTATAGAGTTGTGGTCGCATCAGGTCTTGGTGACTTGGACTCTTCTCTAGGGGAGGACCTGTAATCCACAGACTGGGATTGCGACCCATTGGCTTATCGACCAGACTTTGGTAATCCACTAATGAGCCACTGCTTCGACTGTGGGTCATGGGAAACACTTGATCGGTCTGATAAAACAAGTGTGGCCTGCAGTCCACAGTTGAAGGTGAAAATGCCCTATGATTATTGATTCAATTCCTAAACTATATGGATCCATTTCCCATCAAATTAATTTAATTGTATTTGTTTTATGATAATGATTATTTTTGAATTATTATTTGAATTTTTATGAATCTTTGGATATTTTATTTATAATTTTGAGATTTATAAAATTGAAGATATTGATTTTACAGTGTTTTAATACTCACTAGAAATTATTTTTTAAATTTTAAATGCATAAAAAAATAATCATGGGGGCCCAATACGCACATAAGCCCACCATATTTCTAGAAGGTGGGGCCCACATGTGCCTCCCATGGGTGGCACGCCCCAACTCTTACTACTTTATATTTTATGGAAAGTTTTGTTTTGTGGTCCATGTGACCTTATATTTTGGTAACTTTAAATTGTGACATGTGGTCAAATTATGGATTGAGTATGTATTGACCACATATGGACTTAATATGAAAATAGATATTGACTTGATATATTTTTGATAGATTTTATGTAAAATATGTGTAGAGATGTACTATTTTATGGAATGCACAATATTTAATTAAAAATAAGTTAACTTATTTTCTATTGATGAAAAAATGGTTTAGAAAATGTGGACAAAGGTTCATGCACCTTCCATAATATTGATGGCCTATCTATGGAATGGATGGCTCAAATCTCTCACCCTACAAGTTATCCTTGATCGACAGTCCATGTTCAATCTCATAAGAAGAGACAAGTTAAGGAAAACCCTAAAAAACCCTAATCTTTTTCAATGCCTATAAAAAAGAGATTATTTTTGCCAAAAAAATCTCAACGCCTTATCTCTTGTACCTAGTTCCATATTTCTCTATCATATCCCACTTAGAATTTCTCTCTCTCTCTCTCTTAAAAAAAGTTTCTCTCCCTCCCATATTGTGAAAGAACCTAAGGGTTTAGGTTATGGAGTTATTTTCTCTCCTATCTCTCAACTATGGATTTATGGTTAAGGGTTTTAAGATTTTAGCAAAAAGAGAATCCATCTCTCTCAAACTAGGTTGCTAAGGGAATGTACCTGGTATTTGAGTTTGTGATCAAAGGGATTTATGTTCCAGTGGTGTAACTTGGCCTAAACTTGCTTTCTTGGTTTGAGGTTGAAGGAAGATCGTCGATCCCACCCTCTCGGATGGTGGTGACTCGGTGTGGGGTGTAATTAGCCCGGTTGAAGTAACATTCTCTTTTATTTCTTGCAATCTTATTTTTTATTCTCAAGCATAATGCATAGTTATTTCAATGGCATCAAGTTTTAAGATCTTGGTTTTATTGCCATGTTGATTTTATTTTGAAATATATGTTGTTGTAATAAGACCACATGTGAATGATGTTTTGTCAAAACAAAAGGGGTATTATAAAATAAAAAAATAAAAAATATTATTCCCCGGGTAAAAGATCACATAGGTTAGAGTCCACCTCAAAAATATCACTAAAAGAAGTTGTTTTGATGCCCAGATATTCCCAAATGGATCATCTCGACATCAAAATGCATGGACATGAGAAACATTGGCTTTCAA